GTTCAAGAGGTTACAGTCGTCCCCAATATTGGATGAAATTTTTCGTTATTTGAAACCACACCCTGGCTTTTGCCGGGGACTCTGAATATAGCTGGGCCATAAATATGGCCTAACGGCTTAAAGGGGTTTCTGGGACCTCTCCACGTGTGATCCTTATCCGCATAGTGATACTTTTTGTCACCGGGTGTTTATCGCTTGTGTGATGTCCTGGTGGCGTACAACAAGAGAGAGAGAGAGAGAGAGAGAGAGAGAGAGAGAGAGAGAGAGAGAGAGAGAGAGAGAGAAAGAGAGAGAGAGAGAGAGAGAGAGAGAGAGTTCAACAGGTAAACACGAGATTGCATGTGTAATCGGTTTTCTGGTTTAAACAGCGAGAAAGCTGGGCATACAATGTTAGACTGCACAATGAGGGATGGTCATGTGTTTAGAGTGGATTAGGTAACCTATCCGCCTGTGGATAAATGAAATACGCGGTGGACTAATGTCTGGGCAATGAAATTAGATCAGCAATTATGTAGGCAAACGACTGTTAGAAAGAAGTCACAGAAACTATCAACTGGGTCCAGAGATGAATAACAAGTGGCATTCGTGGGAGTTAATGACAGGTTGTATCTGTAAGTTGCGAAACGACTGATAATGAGTGACTGGTAAATAGCACAAGCGATTCAACAATACCTAGACAGGTAATTGTTTTTTTTTTTATGTCATCCATCTAGTGGACTCCGATATTTCGGGGGAAAGGGGGGGGGGGGGAGGGCGGGGGTTCAAGGAAAGTTTAAAATCATTGTGGGCGGAGAGGGGGTGTGAATGTTAGTCGGTGTTCATTTTACACCATAACACCCCTATACTATTAGACTTTTTCTGGGACCTTCCACGAAATCTCGGAGTCCCCGAGGTAGGGTGACATAAAAGGTAAGAAACCGTAGACTATAGCAACCGCTGACAGAGACTGTACATTTTGGAAATGCTTAAAAAAAACATTTGTACTTTTAAGTCAACAGCGTTTACACCAGTGAATAGTGGTCTTAGTTTGTACAGTTTCGCGTTTGTAGCGTTCCGCGCATGAATGACGCATAGACCCACGTTTTTGGTGAATACATTTGTCCCGATCCAACTAAGATGAGAGTGTTTGAGGAAGAAGAGCTCTGTCCACCCAAAAGGGATCTTTGCAACAATCACATATATATGATTGTTCATGGTCAAGCTACTTGTAGTGGAGTCAGAAACCCCGCTTTTTTCGATGACAGTTTTCCCTCGAACCAGAACCGTGATACCCCATAAACTTTGTACGTGTCCAACGACAGATTTGTAAGTGTAGATAACTGCACTTCCGTCAGCATGATTTTCAAGAATTAGGGCTTGAACTTCTGCCTCAACCATCAAGGGGCCTTGTCTGCAATCGCTGTCTAGTTTTATGTAGACTGAAAAGGATGTACACCACTTTGCTGGCATTGACATCTATTCCTCATCAGGTTCTATGTTATCGGCTGAAATAATCCATATACATGGGTTATAATCTTTGACCCACCAGGCGGCCTATAAGCATCTAGCCAATGCGCTAATAAAAGAAGTGAAAATGTGTATTTATAATTGTCTCCCGACACGAGTAAATGTACCATCACATAGATAAAGACCGCTTGTAAGACGGTTTTGCAACCTCAGACAAGCCGATGGAATGTTAGCATGTGACTAGGTCATGGTTCAGCACAGCACATAAACACTGGGTCGGATGAAGAAAGCCTATGAAGTCACCATAATGTAGTTATTTCTTATCAACGGACATCAGCTAAAACAGCAGAGATGAGCAGAAGGTCTCTTAGCCCCCCACCCTCCTTTCCACCCTCCTCTCTCATGTAAAACATACAATTGGCATGAAATATAAATGATAGATTACTTACGGTTTTCTTCAGGCTCTGGTATTGGGAGATTTTCCTGAAACAGAGTACATAGGGAAGACAACTGTTGTATTTTGAATTTTCTTTTCTTCGAATCATACAGCCAGTGTCATGCTAACCACATCACACTCAAAATGACCCTTCTTCTTCTTCTTTTTCGTTTTCTCTACTCCTGGAATGCCTCGCGGCGTCAGGCCAGGAAGAGATCTTTGGGAAAGGCCCCTGCAGTTCGCTTCATATAAAGTACTTTTCGGTATCTTTAACTGAGACAATGAGGACATTTAGGATAGAGTCGTCGGTTGGAATCAAGATGACCCCTTTCATGCCATGAAAAGATCATGAAGTCAACAAATCTGAGCCAGAAGGGGGATTAAAAAAAAAGAAAGAATTATACAGCTCTGGCTAAAATAGGTTATCGTCAAAACTTATGTATCGGTACAAAAAAAAGAAAGGCGAATGCAAGATGATAAAAAAGGACAATATGTCTGAGGTCCATATCTGCGTGGTCTACCTCTGGATCTGTTACCGTTGTATCCCTGCTCTATGTGATGCCCTTTCTGATGCCAGTCATGCTATACAGCCAAACTATTCAATCTTCGATATTTCCTCATTTTGTTATATAAAATGTAGGTCTGGCCCTCTACGCCCAATATGCCTTGAGGAGTGGACAAGAGTCCTATACTTACTTTTAATACACTGGGGAGACGATGTGGGCATTTCGCTGCTTGACGCTTGCCTGCGGATTTAAAGGTTCAGGGTTCAAATCCGCGTCGTGCCAAATTTTTTTTATACCCAGGTCAATCCAGCTTTAAATGGACACCAGCTGAAGTCGGGGGAAGCAAAGGCGGCCGTCGCGATAGAAATCATATCACTCACAATCTATACAAATATGAGGCTAACCTCCCATGCCGAATGCGCCACAGGCATGTAAAGAGACTTTTTCATTTTACTTTTTAATATCATACTTGCGGCGTGATGGTGACCACATCACCTACCGACTGCTGGTTGGTCTTCAAAAAACAGAAGTCTAGCATTATAAGCCTGATACGCCACTGGGGGGAGAAGGGTCAATTACTTACTCTTACTTTATAACACACTGGGAGCAGCTGTAACATACTGGCTAGCACTTTCGTGTTTCAGACTTTAAATTTTAGACCAATCGGCACTTTGTGGGTGAGGTGGTCAGCATCACGCCGGCTGCCTTTACTTCCCATGACTGCACCTGGTAACCACTCAAGTCTGGGTCGACATGGATGTCAAGGTCATTTTTGAAAAAAATGTCCAGCTTCGTCAAAACACAAACCCAAACCATCGACCTTCTGATCCGTAGGCGGGCGTCTAGCCGCCAACGCCACAGCGACTCCTTTGCATGCAGTAAAAGGAGATTAATCGGGTTAGAAAAAGAATGGAACCCCTTCTATCAGAAAACCATACCTGGAAAATTAAAATCATCATGGAAAAATGTAACGCGTTTGACATGGGTTAGATTAGATTCTATAATTCACTATGAGACGAAAGATAGATAACGATTCACATCTATGTCATTTCAACATATCGTGTCCTACTGATACCAACACTTATGCACACTTATGCATAGTATAGTGTAAAGGAACCTATAGATGCTACTTTGTGAGTGAAATTGTTACTTACGATTCGTAAGTCGTGTTTTCCATGTAACCTCACGGCTCTATTGACACTCATTGTTGGTTGTTATAGTTGTAGATAGCAGACGACTGCGAATACTTGTGTCTTATATGTGCCGCCTCAGCTTTGACCACTATATTATATCTAGTGTTGTGCACTGCGTTGAACGATATCACGAACTGTAACCCACTTGTTCTGTACACAGACAATGTCTTAGACTGACTTTATCATCTGGTTAATTAATACAAGTATGTCGTTTCCTTTTCTGTTAGCGACAAAATCCCTAACGTAGACATGAAGGAAGAAGCATTAGCACGCTCAGATATTACAGACAGTCAATAGTTAACAGTGCTTCTCTTCTTATCTGAAACATATGCTGGGTGATCCAAAAGCATGTACCAAATAACGTCACTGGTATCTCAGTGTTCTGTTACTCAATTGTGACTGACTTAAAGCAAGGAAAGGATTTTACTTAAAATTAAAAGGACGTGTTTAATCTACAGCTGTCATGTTTTAATTTCTCAATCATCTTCTTTTACGTCTTTCTTCAATGCGTTCATAGTTGTTGCTTGAGGCAATATAATACCAGTCCTATGGTAAATTAATTTGTTAGAGATGGAAAGAGGGTTGGGTGTTCATGTTTTTAATAGCTATTTCTTAGGAACCGGAAAGTCAAAGACCTGACGTAAACCAAGAGGCTACAAACTGCATATTCTCTTCAAGACCGTCCCAAAAAGGTTGTAGAATAAAGACAATAGACGACAGTTAAGATTTACAGTTTGTGCAAGCCTTGAAATTTTGTTTAATCATCATTGTCAACACAATCATCTTCATCGTTATCATCATCATCGTTATCACAATTACCACTTTTGTAATAAATTGCAATCGTAAATGACTAGTTGCAGGCTTCATTGGTTACGAATTTAACTCTCTCTCTCTCTTCTCTCTCTCTCTCTCTCTCTCTCTCTCTCTCTCTCTCTCTCTCTCTCTCACTCTCTCTCTCTCTCTCCCTCTCTCCTTGTACCCCACCAGGACATCACACAAGCAATAAACACCCGGTGGCACAAAGTGCCACCATGCGGAGGGAGATCACCCGCAGAGAGGTCCCGGAAACCCCTTTCAGCCGTTACGGCTATATTTATGGCCCGGCTATATCCCGGGCCCCCGGCAAAAGCCAGGACGGGGCTTCAAAAAAAAAATTGCATTCCACTTGGGGACGACTATTAAACTAGGATTGTAATTCATAAAAACAACCATTATGTGCGAAATAAAAAGTAATAACTTTAAGTCACATAATTAGCATTTATGTGATTTAAAAAAAAAAAAGTTTCACGTGAACTGTGGTCCCTTTTTTCTAGTACAAGGATGGTGTTATCTAATGTGAGCGATAGTGCCTTTTCTGGTCGTGCTTACGGTAATCGGTCTCCTTGAACCTTATCACCTGTGCTGATTATCTGGTAGAAAGTATGACAGTATTGTGAACTAGTAACGACACATTCTCTCGCAATAGTGATAAAACCCACCGGTTACGTTGTAAATCCGTTATAAAAGAATATTATAAAGGTTGATTTCAACAATTTCATATGTATTCAGGGCACAGTGGTAACCAAATTTATTTATAGATCATTTAGCCCAGTGTAAATAAGTGGTTAATATAACTATACCGCCTTAACTTCCTATAATGTTTCCCTTTTCACTCCGGCCATATTCAGGTCGATAATATGAAAATCAGACGAAAGGAAAAATTGTAGTACTTAGGTTAGTTAGTTAGTTAGTTAGTTAGTTAGTTAGTTAGTTAGTTAGTTAGTTAGTTAGTTAGTTAGTTAGTTAGTTAGTTAGTTAGTTAGTTAGTTAGTTAGTTAGTTAGTTAGTTAGTTAGTTAGTTAGTTAGTTAGTTAGTTAGTTAGTTAGTTGATCGACAGATTAACCTCACTGCACATCGGACAAGTTTATAAGCGCTAGGATCCAATCTTCAGGATATCCTTCAGCGAGTGGTGACTGATAACACCAGTTCTGTGTCGGTTTACTATCCCTCTTTTGCTAACTGTATAATGTTCATGTTTAGTGATACCTTATTTGATCTGAAGTTGTGTAGTCTTTTGAGTGTTGCCGATTAAAGGGCGTCTCCTGAATCATCTTCTCGTCCTGCCTCATTGAGAGCATTGAGAATGGCAGCCCGGTCCATTGCTTTTCCTGTGCCTACTGTGACCCTGCCGGCAAGCCAATCAGTTCATTCATTCCCTCCAAACCCAGAGTGTCCTGACACAAAAATAAAGCGAATTCTTTTCAGTCGAGATTTCGTCAGCGACTCCACCCATTTTCTTAGAATCCATCCTGTCTCTATATTCTTAAGCATGCTCATGGAATAACTTAAAAAGCACGCATAGGAAAAAATGTCATATCTAGTCATATCATAGCTTTTGTTACCGCCATCACTTCCATGGTCAAACTACTTGTGTCGAGGTAGAAACCTATCTTTTTTCGATTACGGTTTTTCTCTCGAACCAGAACCTCAAAACCGCATTAACTGTGTACGTGTCGAACGACGGATCAATCAGTGAAGGTAACTGCACCTCCGTCATCTGTATTTTCAAGAATTAGGGCTTGAACTTCAGCCTCAACCACCAACGGGAGTTGTCTGAAATCGCTACCCAGTTTTATGTAGAATGAAAAGGATGTACACTTTGCTGGCACTTGCACCGATTCCTCACCAGGTTCTATGTCCTCGGTTGAAAAAAAAAAATAAAAATAAAAACTTGCCGAATTATGTCCTCAGCCTGACACACCCAGGATTTTCCTACTTTTTTACCTTCTACCTTCTTTCTGCGAATCTAACTGTTCAGTGGATGGTATGTATCAGCACTGATACATAGATACACAGGTTGTAGCACAGTTCTCTTCTTTGTGTATGTTGATGTCACACTCGGGTTCGTCTTTCATTTGCTACAAGATGAGTCAATTGAATAATATGGACGAGGAGAAAGATGGTCGTTTCTATAGTGGGGATGATAATGATGTCTTCCTAGCTGCATGCTTCTTCCAGGACTTTGATACTTGTACTGTAACATGTCTTAGAACAACATTTCTTTTGTACATACTGTCTTTATTGACATCTCTAAATGCAACTAATAACATCAGCGGTATTCCAAATAACAACCGATTCCACTCTATGGTTGTATACTGTTGACATCACGTTGTGTTCTTCATCTCTGTTTACTAGCTTCTAGTACTGTCTGGTACTAATTGTTTGATGGTCGACTCTAGCATCTTAGAAATGTCCCTAGCTAATGTGTCTCTACTAAACATGGATTCATGTATTTCGTCTGTTGCACCTGTTGCCCAATGTCTCGTTTCATGTCTCCTATCCAGTGTCTGTCTTTGAGGCTCCATGTGATTCGTTCCTCTTCTTCTAGTGTTTAGCTGACATCCATGTTTTGGTCTGCGTCCATATGACTAGTCTCTCCTGTTCAAAGTCTCGATGACTGAAGTGGTTTCTGACCCACTATTTATATTGAAATGCTAATATGTGTTAAATGTGTTTTCTACTCACTAAACTGCTTCCAGAAGGTTCTAGTATGCTCAAAGTTGTTTATCTCTATGTTCTCACCGTAGATGTGCTAATTGAGTCTCTTGTGCATCAGACAGCTCTACGTAAAAATGCACTATTTAAATTGACAGCTTTTCAAGAAAGTGAGTACGACAAAACTCTCTCTCTCTCTCTCTCTCTCTCTCTCTCTCTCTCTCTCTCTCTCTCTCTCTCTCTTTGATAAGCAACGTCAACGATTACATCAGATACTATTTATAAACTGGATTATTCATCTGCAAATATCTCTGTGCTTGAAAAGAATGATAGTTCTAGAAAGGTAATGTCGAGGTTTTTAGTCTTGTTGATGTTCAGTCCATTCAACTAATTCGTAGTTGATGATGACTTCAAGTTACAAGGTGCTCGGCAGATCACTATTCTCACTTCCATTGCTGAAGAATCAATTAGATAACGCATCGCCATACATTGTTTATTTTATGTGCATCCAAGTAAATGGCTTAAGGCCTCATTTTAAATCCGATTTTGTCTCTTTATCTGTGTAAGAGAATTACAGAAAGGATCAGACCCTGGTATAAGAAAAATAGGTAACGCTGCTCGCAGTACGTTCCATTAATATAACCTCTGCTCCTTCTTTTCCTTGATCAGTTTCTCCTCTTACTTTTGTTTCTTCTGTTTCATTACCACCACCTGCTCATACTCCTCACCTCCATCTCCTCACCTCCTTCTCCTCCTCCACCTTCTTCTTCTTCTTCTTCCTCTTCTTCTTCTTTTTCTGTTTGTTCTTCTTCTGTTATTATTATTATTGTTATAATAATAATTATTATTATGTTCCCTTCTTTATCCTCCTCTTTTTCTTCCTAAACGTGATGCACTGGTATGTCGACCTTTTAACACAACAAACGTTACATAATTGGTTTGTGATAGCCATAAACCTATCTACCGGATACTAATGTGCTTTTTGGTTCTTGATTTTCACAGTCAAACGATAAACAATTGAATCAAATGCTGAAAGTCGATAAAATATTTCACAACTGTACCGCTTTCATATGCAGATTGAAAAAAAAAGCCATAAATATGAGTGAGAAGTGTGTCAGTAAAAGAGAAAGTAAAAGCTGTGAATCAATTCAGCTGCTAATGTCTCCATGCATAATAATCGCTACACCTTTCCGCTGTCCACTTATTCTTCTCTTTCATTTATTTTTTGGCCTATTTCTATTTCTTCGTTTATAATACTACTGATTTTTTTTTTTTTTAAATGTTTCGTTATTAATTTGGACGCTTTTGAGATATGGTTTAACAGAAAAATACAAAATAAGTGATCTAGACTCTTTGAAGTGATGACGTCAATATAGAGGGACATAGGTCGAGCTGATTGCAAGAAATGCTAAATATAACACAAACTGTGACTTGAAAGCTTAACGGAGGTAATGGAAAAGACGCACACAAATATATCAGAAGGCATATCTTTTCACTTACGCCTTCATACTTATTTCGTTTCTCGTATTATAGCCTT